TTTCCACTTTAAATCAGAACCAAATTCGTCCCCAACATGGCTTCATAAGGACAGCCGGTGTCACGACAGAAAAACAGCCTATCCAAGAGGAAGCTTTTGTCATAAGGAAGAAACAGAAAATATCTGCTTCAGTTGCACTAATTGAATCAATTTGCCAGCTTGTACGTCAATCATCTTTGCAAGCAGAGACCACGTGTCACAATTCATTTTTTATCCACATGCAAACACCAACAAACACGCAGACAAGTCCTCCTCCGGTACTGGCAGGGCTGAATTATTTCCCCTCGTTCTTCTCTCCAAAAACCAGTCAACAGGCGTAATCCTCAGACGTCTCCCTTAATGTAACAATTAGAAGTACGTTCAGAAACACGAAGACACATGAGACGTGTTTAGTGAAGGTCACAAGCAATTATCCAGCCTGGTAAAAGCTGGCATGTCTCACATGGCACCGCTGCACGCCCTCATTAGGCGTGTTCTGCAGCTCAGAGTGGGTCTTGTGGCTATAAAAGAACTGTGCTCGCTGCCTTCCAAGCCTCCTTTTAGCAGAACCTCACCAGCAGGAGCACAAAGAAACTACACATCACCACCTCTAGATCAGATAGGAGCGGACAAACCTTTTTTTGTAAAAAAAAAAAAAAAAGGGGGAGGGAGGGAGGGGAGGGGAGGCACTACTTGACCAAGGAATCTGTGTGTTTCTTTACAGGTTGGGCTCGGTTGGCTTTCCACAGGACAAACATTGATTTCTTGCTCTTTCCTAATAATGAGCAACATGGGCTCATTAGCTTTTACACTGTGAAACTTTAGGTTTTTAAATATTTATATATTTAACATCACATTGAGTGATAGTTCCAAATTGGTGCACGGTTATCAAATTTTATATCAAACCGAATTCCAGAGAAACAGCCAATGCATAGTTAATGTTTAGTTTTTTCTAATGAAGATGTCAGGAGCATGAGCCTTCTCCATCTTGTTTTAAAGTCTCATCTCAGTGCTGGTGTGTTGAATGCATTCAAGCTGGACCTTTTCTAATAATTTCCATGCTGAGCTCTGACATCACTAAACTCACAAACACTAAATCAAAACCCGTAGACACAAGAAAAAGAAAAAGAAAAGGCTCTTCAATAAAACGCTGGTTCATCCAGCTGTGGAGGGAAAATCAAAACCATGTTAAAAATTATAAAGATTCTGCTTTTGTTGAAGTGTTGCTGTTAACCCGGTGAGAGAATGCTGCACACTATTAGAACTCCACCTACTAAATATGTTTGTCAGATTTTTTTTCTCATGCCAGTGGCAGGCCTCGGTAGATGTGCACACATGCAAACCACAAGGAAGAGGAGAGGAAAAAAAATCCATGCAGGTAACCTTTAATGGTTTCTAACATTAAAAACAGTTGGAGGTTTAACTAAAATAAGCAGCTCCTTCCTCACAATGAAAACTAGAACTTTAAATTCGCCCTTAAGACTTTAAAGACAAAGCACACTTGAGGAAGTGAATCCTTTGATGACACTTAAAACCAACACCAATATTTACCGACTGGGGTCGTTGCTCCTTGTGAGTGTCAGGTGTCGATTGGATGAGTTCACTTGTGTCTGATCTGATTTGGAAGAACTTTTTTTTTCTCACTCTGGAAACCTCAAGTCTGGCTGTTTGATTTTCTCCTGATCGCAACAGAATATACAATAAAAAAATAAAATAAAATCACCTTTAGAGATAAATACTCCACAGCTAGAGTTAAGAGGAGAAACGAAACGCAGGCCTGAACGAAATTAAATATATTTTCTGGACACCTTAAAAAGCGACTGGCTCACTCCAGCGCTATTACGCACACATGCAAGGTTTGAAAATGCGCATAAAATCGCGTTGTGGTTAAACAACACAACAAATTCCAAGGTTGACAAGTGGAAATGATACGTTATTCATGCACATAAATTAATTCTTATTTGGAATAAAGTCTCTTTAATATCGCTGAAGCAGAGAAGAAATCACTGATGCGTTTAAATCCATGAACCAACATTTTTTTAGCACTAATATTCGACTTATAATAATTTAAATAAAACATGTGGAGCAGCAGAAGTTTCTCGTGGTGGGCCTGATCATCTTCACACACACAAACCACCACATCTATTAGAGGATTTTACCGGATGAGTAATTTAAATTCATTTTCAAAACACCTTTCTGTTATGTGTGTTTTCATATTTCTGGTTGCGCACGATCATTTTTTAGCTCAGAAAGCTTTAGAAAATCATAAAAGATATGTCTGGAAATTACAGTGAGGTTACACAACGTGTCTATCACCTGCACAGTCGGCAAATCTGTCGCACCTTCAAAATGAAAAGACAGAAACACGCTGCAGTGAGTCAGCTCGTTAATCAATATAAAATGAAATATTTCGGGCATGTGGCGTTTGCGCGCCTGCTGCAGTGTTTATGTGGGCCTGTATTGTATGAACACACACTGAATCTCATTGCTTTTGTTTGGTCACACATGACAAACAAAATCAGGCGGTTGCGAAGCTGCAAAGCGGCCGTTTCTGCAAAACGTGTAACTGCGCCAACGGCTGGATTCACGCCGGTCGTCTGCTCACGTCCAGGCCCATTTTAGATCTTCATCAAGCGTAAAGGCACGTTTTTACTATTTAATACGCAGACGGATTTAAACACAATGCAGAGGAAAGCACGTTGCAGCAGATTTAAATTCTGCAGACCTCTTCCAAAGATTTAGATTTGATCTGTTTTTTCTCACCTACGAGGCCTCCAGGTGCACCGCAGAAAATCAGAGCTTCTGCAGTTTTTCTTACTTTAATAGTTTGAAAATCTAAACTACAGGCATAAAAATGTGTCGATCACAAGTTGAGGACTTAAAATATCCAAGACTCGTTTTAAAATGTTCAGAATTGTAAAGATAATTAGCCAGTAATACAACAAGCAGGTAAAGAAAACCTACATGAGGTGCATCCATTCCTGTGTGTATCCACAATATTTTTAAATTATATATTTTAAAGACTTTTAAAACAAACTTGTCATTTGTTGTTGCGTCAAAAAACTTCAACAGCCGGATAATATAATTCATATATTATCATGGCAAAAACTGTCAAAGAAGCATGTTGAAGCTATAACACATATATAAGCATGTAACGCGCGTAATGCTTTATAAATAAAGCTGAGTGTTAATAAAAGGAAGCTGCTACTTTAGGAAAACGGTTTGCAAAATATAAATAGAACGTGTTAATGGACGCATCTTATGTTGATACCCATATGTTTCTCATGCAACATGCAGAGACGGTTTTTCTTTAAGTGCAAACGAGACAATGTGCTGATAGAGAAGAAAAAAAAGAAAAAAAAATCGTGCAATTCCTGCGTCGTCCAGATGAGGGGAGTCCAGCCAGCCAAAGGCGATTGAGACAAGACAGACAGAGAGATAAAGAGTGAGTGAGACACAGTGACACAGGCTAAGAGAGATTCATTATTATCCTTATTGAAATGAATCGATACTCAGCAGCAGGTTGATGTCTCCTCCGGTGCGCCCCGCAGCGCGCACCTGAACGCAGCATGCAAACCTTTAACTCTCCACACAATCTGAGCATCCAACAAATCAAAGGCGTCCATCACCGTGTGTCTAACTCTGACACGATCCTCTGCAGCGCCCTGACGCTCTCCTCTGCTCTCCTCTGACCCAACCTGATGCTTTCCATGTGTCCCGCTCCCAGATTGTGGATGGGGAAGCAGCCAGGAGAAGAGGAGGGTAGGTGGGGTGGGAGAGGAGAGGAGAGGAGGAGAGGAGGAGAGGAGGGATGGTGGTGGTGGTGGTGGGGGGAGAGAATAGGGACACTGCACCTTGTTACCATTGGGTCGACTGTTAAGTTTTACAAGTAACGTTTTGCGAGCTTATAAACGATACCTTCTAAACTTGCACAGGAAACTCCGAAAACATGCTGTGATAATGTATGTCTCTGGAATCCAGTCGATATCCCCTATAGTCTGGGAGCGCTGCGATCTACAGAGGTATCGATTACATGAGGCCCTTCCCATGTTTGATGCCCCAACACCGGCTTATAAACTGACTGAGGCTGCTGGTGTGCAGGCTGATGGTCACAGAAGTCGGTTTGTGGAGCTCAGTTGCATGATCAGACACACAGGAGAAATACTTTGTACAGAATTTATGAGCAAACAAAACTATTGAAATAACAAAAATCTGAAAATATGCAAAAGATGAATTAATATGTTTTTATGTAAATTAACCAACAAACTAGCACCACCTCCAAGCTTAATTTAAATTGCATTTATGTTATATTAAGGCATAAATCTCGCGTTAATTCGTGCATCCTGCAGTCATGCATGCTTTTAAATGTACTAAGTTTTTTATCATGACGCCCCACTTCCTCATATTTTACGCAAATCCAATGACGTAAATGTCCTTAAAACATATTTACATCAGTTATTTACCTTTCTTAAAATGAGTGACTGATAAGGCAAATCATTTTTTGATATGATCCACGTATAAAATCTACAATTTACACGTCTGCTTCTAAATAAAAAGAAAAAGTGGCAGGGCTTTATGTTGGAGCTCCAAATGTTGGTAAGAAGTCGGGGAGAGGTTTGACTCTCCACTGTCACCCCAGTGAATGTAGAAGTTCTTACCAGAAGGCTGCATGTTGGATGAAACGTTTCCCTTTTTGCCACTTCCCCTCTATGCAAAATACCCAAGGAGGCTGCACGGCTCCAACCGGATGGGGTTTGTATTGGCTGACACCGTTTCCAGCGCAGGACGACCAATGAAACCAAAGCAGAGGCTCAGCGTATAACAGCGAAGATTGACGTGGAGGACGCGTCAAATTAATTCCAGCAGACTCCGGACTCCCCGGGATAACTCCAATTTGCATTTATCGGATGAAGATCACTTCGGTGCCATTGTACCTTGCAGTCACTTGTTTCCAGAAAAAAAACGCAGAAGGAGGCACGCTGCAGTCGGAGGAGATTTTCCGGCTTTTTTTTTTTTTCCTCCTCTTCTGGGGCTCATTCCTCCCGGTTCCCCCTCTTCCTTCTCTGACTTCGCTCGGACGCGCTCAGCCATTTGAGGGGGCACCTATATTTCCCAGCATCTCGAAACATATAGGCAAATGGGTAAGCCCTCACCGTCTGCATGCTTCAGTGGCTTCAGAAGGGGACTTATGGAAGCGTATCACCACGCCTGCGTAAAGACAGAAATAAGCATTTGCTTTTTCTCCCCTTTTCTCCAAGTTCAGATAATGTGCAAATGAAGGCGGCAGCTTGTCAAATTTAAAATCGTGGTGGATTTTTCCAGCGCTATTGAGCAGGAGTGACTGTCTGTTTAAAGCTTTAAATCGTAAATGGAACCGCACCACCAATTATCCTATGAAAAGCGTCGCTTTAAAGGGCTCTCTCGTGTCTATTCTCCAAGCTCGCCATTTTTAATGTTGTTTTTGTTGTGTGCGCAGGGGTGTTGGAGGGTGAAGCCAGCCAAACAGTTTACACACTTTCCTAAAGTTGCAAAATAGCGGCTGCGAGCCAGAGGTTACCAATCTGTGCAGACTGACGCGTACAACTTTATAACCTCAGCTTTTGTGGTAATTAACTGAAGCTGGACTGTGTGCAGGCTCCACATTTAACATGCTCCTGCCTTTTGGTATTTGCTAAATATTATTATTATTATATATGTTTGGTAATAAATGCATCACAGTGCACACACCAGGACGCTCTGTTGTCAAGTCAGACATCTGTGTATTCGCCTCAAATATTGCAAAAAATAAAATAAAGTCACTCATGTGTCTCTTTTCTCCTGCAGAGCAAACCTATGGAGAGGTGAACCAGCTCGGCGGCGTGTTCGTCAATGGGCGACCCCTGCCCAACGCCATCAGGTTAAGAATAGTCGAGCTGGCCCAGCTCGGGATTAGACCCTGTGATATAAGCCGGCAACTTCGGGTCTCCCACGGCTGCGTGAGCAAGATTCTGGCGAGGTACAACGAGACCGGCTCCATCTTACCCGGTGCCATCGGTGGAAGCAAGCCCCGGGTCACGACGCCTAACGTGGTGAAAAATATCAGGGAATACAAACAAAATGACCCCGGGATCTTTGCCTGGGAGATCCGGGACAGGCTTTTGGCTGACGGGGTTTGTGACAAGTACAATGTCCCCTCGGTGAGCTCGATCAGCAGGATTTTACGCAACAAGATTGGAAATCTCTCCCAGCCGAACCAGTATGAGAGCAGCAAGCAAGCGTCCGCGCAGGCCGGGCTCTCCTACAACCACATATACCCTTATTCCTACCCCAACACCATGTCGCCCACTAGCACTAAAATGGGCAGCCCCCCTGGAGTACCGGTGACGGCTGGACATGTGAGCATATCCAGGGCCTGGCCTTCGGCGCACACCGTCAGCAACATCCTCGGAATACGAGCCTTCATGGATCCCACAGGTGAGGGACGCACAACCATTTTGTGTTGTGTGAATTTTTTTTAGGCCTCTGCGTCTCAGAACAGTACATGGAAGGCTTCAGCTCTAACTGTTGTCAAACAAGAGCTTAATAAACCCGAGCAGCGTGCTATCCTGCATGATTAATAGTCAAATGAGTCCGTACAACCTGTTCTGGCAGCAGACGGGACAATGTGTCCATTAAATGTTGTACAGGCCTCCGCTTCAGCATTCAGCCAGAACGCAGTAAGGCCATTCTCAATAGGCCTTTTCATGCCATGATGCGTTTGCAAACACCTTGCCCACCTGTTATATCCAAGCTAATCCTTCAAGTAGTCATTACAAGATTTTATTTGTTTTTTGCCTTTCGGTTGTTTTAGTCAGTAATTTCATTCACTGTTCAGTCGCGCTGGTTCACTGCATTTTTGTGCCATCAGTTACAAAATAGTTTATACAATTTTTTTTGTAAATTATAAATAATTATTGTTTTTTTTCTAAATGTTTTGGATTGAATTAACTCCACTCTGTGTGCCAGATTATTGCGTATTTTACGCAAACACCTGAAAACAAAATGCATTGTCTGTAATAAACTTAAACAGTCATGGAAATTATTCATTAAATGAGAGAATAATATTGAATAATAATTATAATAATCTACTGCTGTTTCCATGCACATTTATAGCTTATTTGGGTTTGTTTTGTTTTCAAGATGCAGTTAAAACCTACATTCGTAAAACATAATAGCATTACGCACAATTACGCACATAAATAATCACATTAATTCTAATATTAAATAACATATTGTTTGAATAAATCAATCTTCAAGTATCTTAAGAAGGCCTGAGGTTTTAGAAAATGATAAATGTTTAATAGCTCAGACTGATTAACAGTTTTAATGTGTCTTCTATTTTTATTTTGAAGCTAAATGAGACTGCAGTTATTTATTTTATTTTTTTACACTTTAACAAGTTCACTCTTTTACACATCTTTGACATGAAGTTACTGTTTTTAAATCAGCAATTGCTGGGACGGAGGGATACCCACCAAAAATGGAGGAGTGGAGTAGCGTCAACAGAGCAGCTTTCCCAGCGGCTCACACAGTCAACGGGATTGACAAATCAGCCATTGACGCCGACATAAAATATGCTCAGGTAAAAACAACAACAACAACAAAAAAACTGTTGGAACATCTGTACAGCCTTCAGCTTTACTACACACAGTCTGGACGTGTGTGCATGCTGTGCATTGCGCGCCATTTTATTTTCTTTGTAGGAAACAGTCCAAATGTTTCGTGCCAAAATGGGCAGAGCTCAGAAGTAAATTGTTCCTGTTGCTGCACAGGCCTGTGGCAGAGCTGTGGAAAGGGATCCCCAGACTCACATCTGATCACTCCTGCTGGATTTTATTCATTAAACGTGTCATTTTGTGTTCTGAATGAGAGTGACAGACAAGAGTAACCTTGCTGTGTGCGCATGCTCTGATTACGTTATTTTTGGGGGGTAAATGAAATTACAGTGAAACTCATGTATTCCTCATTCTGCTCCCCTGATCTTGTAAACCACTCAAACACCAAACGCCGTCTTTGGGAACCGCTGCTGCAGGCCACACGCCGCTGTCACATTCAATTAGAAGCTGTGTAGCTTTTGGGGTGGGTGTTTGTGCTCATTTTTTTTCTCTTATCTGTTGGCCTGCAGCCTTCCTCGACGCTATCCAGTTATGTCTCGGCGTGCGCTTACTCTCCGACCAACCAGTACGGGGTGTACAGCGGGCCAGCGGGCGGCTACGTGGCCCCGGGTCACCACCACTGGCAGCCGCAGAGCCCGGCCCTGTCCCACGCAGGCGGCGGGATGAGCATGCATGCGGGGGAGATCCACTCACCCATGGCCTTTAAGCATCAGAACCGAGAAGGTACCCACACTGTAATGCGCAAAGTGCTGACAGATGCGTCGAAACCTTAAACGTGTTTTCTCTCTGGGCTAAAATGCAACTGCAATAGATTTCTACCACTGTATTATTATTATTATTATTATTATTATTATTATTATTATTGCATTTAAGCCTAATTTATCTGACAAACCTGCACCCGCGCCAGGCCACGCGGTGTTCCTCTCCATCCTCCACCCCTTTCTCTTCTCACGCACACACTTTCTCAGTGACCACAACGAATGCAAACACTGACCAAAAACACAAATAAAGTCTAATTATATGTCACTTATCAAATATTGACCTTGCGTTCTTGGCCTGCGTCAAGGCCCGCAAGTGGTCCGAGATCATTTTAACCAAACAAAACGCAACGGATGAGTTGATTATTTTTTATTATTTCTAACAAAAATGGGAGGTTGCATGTTAATAATGGTGCATTTGCAGAATGTAAAATCTACCTGGAATAATTCACATTTACATGCATGCATCTCCAGGAGTAAATAATGATGAGCAGCTTTTACGCACATGCCCACTGTGTGTATTTGTGTTGTTCTGTGCAGGAGACAGAAAACCGCCCAGTCCCCTGAGCAAGCAGCAGCAGCAGCAACATGAAGACTTGAACAGTGTGCACGGACTCAGTCTCCCTACCTCATCATCATAACCGGGACTTATAACACCTAAAAAGAAAAAAAAAAAACATTTAACTGAACTCATTTCAACAACTCCAACAGTAAGTGTGAACACTACCGGCTTTGTTTGTGTGTGACAGTCAAACACAGGCCCGTTCAATGGAGAGTACAGTACAGCTTTATCGGCCTCTTCTTGGCCACATGAATGTAAGCTTGCATGGATGTATCGGTGTTTCCCCTCCTCACTGGTTGATTGGTTTTATTTTCTTACTTTCAGTTGAAATATGTTGCTACAGGCTGTATATTCTCTAGAATGGAGACTGCAGGATTGTTTTTTTTTTTAAACCAAAGAATACATTTTTTTTTTTTAAATCTGTCGCCCTGTCATTGAGGTTTTTATTATAAAACAAGGGCTATTCTGTAATATTCCGACATATGTTATATTATCTTCTGGTCATGAAATCGATTCTACAGTGGCTCAATGATGTGAACAAAAAAAAAATGAAATTGTCTAAATGTAAAAAAAATATTTGCCAAAGCTTTAATTATATATTTTTATAATTTCATTGTAAATATGCAAAAAAAAGAATAAAGGCCTTTTTAAAAACGCCATACCTTGTTGTGGCTCGTGTTATTACACTATTGATCCACGAAAGGGGCCTAAAGTGTTGATGGAATTAGTTGGAAAGGACGCAAATATCCCGAGATGAATGCGTAAAATTGGATTTTTGTCATGTTATTTCTGGTGGTTTTTAGCTGTGATTGCACGAGACTCCTCGTTTTTTGGTTCATAAAGGTGTTGATAATGCGGATTTAAAGCATTTCTTAAAGGCCTGTCTTCAGTTGTTGGTGCAGGTGGAGGTGCCAGAATTACGTCCTCTACTCTGCGTTCATTCTGGAGTTTGTTTCCAGCCATGAGGCGTTCACTGACCTATAACCTCTCCAGAATAAGTTTCAACCTGCCTCGTCTGAGATCATTTCTTAATTGGAATTAAATCCTAATTCCCGATAACGACGAGGCCACTATTTTGGGAAAAATAAAAGCCATTTTGCTCACTCGGGCAGAACCTCCCTACACTTCCAAAGAGCTCTCCGCGGGCTGGGCGCCTCCGCTGATCTTATCTGGCTGGTAATTGATACGCGCCATGCTGGGAATCTCAGGGCTGATCGTTCGTGAACGGTGCGTTCAGGAGAGCATCTAACAGTCCAATCCACCCTCATGCAGCCTCGGGGAGAAGTTATCCCGCATAGAAATTACGAGAAGTTTCCCATACAGGCCTATAGACTCTGCCCTCTCTCTCTGTAAACTGTTTATTCCTGTGGCCTGTTGGCGCTCCAAAGACAAGACTGGTGTCTGATTTGCTGCACAGACTGAACTGTGTGCTGCTGGACGTTTATGTGAGCGTGTTTGTCTGATTTGACTTCGATATTTGGACTCATTTGCCTTTAAACGGGGCTCAGTTGACCCCATTTATGATGCTTTTGATATAAAATATGACATATTTATTTTTGCTTGATGGCCTGTTCATATAATATAATATATATAAAAAGCAGTCTAGGATTATTCTAATTATTATTATTTTTAAAAAAAAAATTATATTTGAAATTACTAATACCTTAAAAAAAAAGTCACTTTAAGATGCAGAGCCTTTATGTTGCTCTTACATCTTATATGATCATTTATGTGAAAAAAACCTCAAACACACTGAATGTTTCCTCAGTTTTTCAAAACACTTTTTTTTACTACTTGCAAAGTAATTATCTGAATATTTTCTAGCAGCCCAACAAATAAAACAGCATCTGCCAATATGTCAGATGTCCAAACCAATATTCCCTTAATTTTCTTTATTTATATCCCGTTTGCTCACCAAACTATTATCAAGCATCACATAATAAAACATATACATTTATTTAAAAATAGATTTAACCTCTTGCATTTGCCTAATCCTCCATGCAACCTGCGTCCCCTCCTCTGTAACTTGAGGCGGCATGGTGAGGTCAGGGGAAATGCACACAGCACAGTTGGTTTGATGACAAACCCAGTTATGTTTGGTTGAGTAAGAATGAGCTTTTCTGTGGTTTTTAACAGTGTCAGTGTAAATGCAGTGAGAATAATACTTCATGTTGGTTTGTTTCCGCCTTGGAAAGGACAGAATGAATTGTTTTCTAATGGAGACGGAGTTCTCTTCCTTTTTTTGGGTATCAATAGGCCGTAAAAAGAATCAAAGTCATTGAACAGAAACACATCGGTTTATAGTTCCCGATGCTGGGAGATGATAATGTTTCTGATTAAAAACAAATATTAATTCATTCATTCTGAGCTGGTTTTTAACACTCAGCTGAGTGAATGAGTTAAATAATGAGTGTTTCATAAAGGCTGCAGCCATCATGTGTTTAGTCATACTTTAATAGAACATGAATAATAACGTCTTGTCTTTTTGACATAATGCCAGTTTTTAGTCATAATATTAGAAGTGATTTCAAACCTAAATAAATATAATTCTTTAAAATGACTGAACAGAGGAAGCATGTATCAAACTGCTCCCAAATCAGTTCTACTGACAGAGTTTTGGATTTAAAGTTGGACAGTGTGAGTCTGTTGATTCTGGCTGTAAGTGAGGACAGTTGGGAAAAAATGACAAGTAGGTACAGAATGTAGGTGACAATATATTGTAGTGTTGTTTTTTAATTTAATAAAACAACTTCAAGAGAAAGATATATTTTTCCTAAATATGTGGTTTGGCTTTAAAAGCTGTTTACTGGGTAAAATGTCATTATAAATATATTTTACCTGCTGCTAATACACAAGCAGTTTGATCAGGAGTGAAGGCTGGATATGTCTAATATCGCCTGTTTGGAAAATAATCAGAGATTTCTAACAAAAAAATGCAAGAAAACTACAAGTAATCTCCTCAGATGCACTGCTATAATCCTGTCTCCCAGCACAAAGCACTGAGGTGTCTGAACAGCAGGTTTTAGGATCCACGCTGGAATTTCGTGTGCCATGAGTCCTATTTTGCAGCCGTTGATTCCTTTCCTCCTTTTTGCAGCCGAATCCCAAGTGAGTCAGAATATCCAAACATTAAGATGGCCTTTGAGTACACACGCTCCCTGACTGGAGTCGTTCATGTTTTCCCGGATACCACTTGGGGTTCGGAAAACACTCCTTCATGGTGGTGGGGTTACTTCCTGCGGGACCTATGGTCATCAATCAGGGCAGCAAGTGATACCCCCCACTGCGTCTTCAGCAGACCCTCAGTGCTGGAAGGGCAGCAGGTGGGCTGCTTTCAGATGCTGCTTCCTATCGACACAGAGCACGCAAAGATAATATTTTTGAAATACATGCAGCATCGCAATGTGCCAGTGGTATTGGACTTTTTTACATCCCTGATTGACAATAAGCAGCATTACAGTTTTAAACAGCTTTTAAACTGGTTCCACTGAGACACAACTTTTTCTTTTAATTGTGTAATTTCATGAGATAAAATTGATATTGATGAATATTTCAGTAAAATAGTTGATTGTTCCTATAAAATCATCTACCAGCATTATTTTATTTATATATTCTGGTGTTTGGAGATGTTTGGAGTTAGCTTTGGATCAGATGGATTATTGCAGATATTATTTATTTTTCTGCATTGCCTTGTAAAAAATATTATATCTGCAACCTTATTGTTCTGCAAAATAGAATTTCCCCCTTTTAATTAACCCTTGTCTCCTAACAAATGCACTTTTGTGAGTAGAGGGTACATTTTTTGCACTGGCAAACTTTCACCAGAACTCCGGACACCAAAGTGTGCAGATGCCCAGACTTAAACACTCCACTGCTCTGATCTTCGATGGCCTTAAGAGTGTTACCTCTGAAACTTCAACTTGAAAGGATTCTCAGATACCGCCAGCTTAAACAGACACTTGGGGAGACGGATAGGAGACTTGGCCTCCTTGATCCTAATGGATATGATATTGAGCGCTATTAATAATCCGAGCGGCGGTGAAATAGTGACAGAGATTCCTTAAAAAGCAAGACCAGGCGCTGCTGTCTTCACCCGCAACGATTCATCAACGTCTGCCATGTGTACAGGAGGGATTGAGTGTTCTTAAAGACCAAAGTTCAGTTTATGTGTTTGACACTTTGCCGGGCATGATTTAAGACGTTTTACATTATCTCTTCTTTCTTTTTTTGGGAGTTAAGGGGGGGAAACTATACCCCAGGCTGGCCAGGAGTCACTCACTCACTCACTACTCTGCTTTTGTACGACTCTGAGTCAACAAGAAGAGAGCATCTCAGGACAGGCGACAAGGCAGAGCAGACAGGTCTTGGAAAAAGAAAGAAACCTTTTTCAAAAAAAAAACGAGAGTGGCAAGTTGGCATGGTGTCAAATTTGGGGAAAAGGCCGGTGTCAGCACTTCTACTCATGTCTGAAATTTCAAATAAATTGACTTGCCATGGAAACATGCAAACATGATGTACGACGCTGGAACATGCGCGCATCCCGCTCTCTGACAGGCAGGATGTCATTTTTTGACGCAAGAAGCAAAGTCATAAATTTTAAAACGCTCATAGCTGGCAGCCTAATGTTAACAGTGTTTGACAGGATCCGATGGTGTCGAACGTTTAGAAAAAAAAAAGCACAAAAGATGCGCTATGTGTGTGTGTGTAAGTGATGCATTCATGTTTTTGCCACCCTAAAAGACCAAAGCAGCGGGTCTGTAACGATGTCATTCTTGTAATTCAATCACCGCTGACTTTTTTTTTCCGCTGACTGTCCACAGGATTTCCAAGCAGGCAGAGTTACAGCTCTGCAGTCTAGAGGATGATAAATGTCTCCCTCCCATGTTCTTACTTGCTCTGCCAGCTCACCACATCAACCAGATGCTCTAAAAGCAAAAGGGACAGAGACATGATGATGACATTTGGCTTTCTAAATGAAAACGTATCATTTCACATTTTGCTCTCAGGAGATTCCGCCGCCGTTTTTTTTTTTTTTTCTTTTTGGTCCTTTGGGGATACAGCAACGCAGCAATAAAGAGAATAACCGCAGGATCACGTTGAATTGCAGAGCCCAGCTTTGATTGTTATATACAGATGAGTAAAAGAGCATGAAATTATGTTTGCAAACTCAATTAAAATTCCCTCTTGAGAGCATATTTTTGTAAAAAATGCTTGTAATTTGTTGTAATTTGTCAGTAATCAGTATGTAAATATCAACTGGAAAGTCCAGGCCTTCATTATGGAAATTTGTCAGCAGTTTTGTCCAGGAAGTCTATTTTAGTAAAGATCTGGGCTAAAAGAGAGAGAGACAGTCCTCAAAGCAGGAGAAGCCTCTCTAATTTGTGGAGACTATAGAATTAATGCCCCATCTGTGACTTATTTAAAGTGTGCTGAAACATATACTGCGCTAAATGTTGCCACACACATGCCAAATGCTACCAGCAAATAAGGTAGTTAATTTTTTGGCTCAAATTCTTATTAGGTGATAATAAGAGGATGACTCTTCTCTGAAATATGCGAGCGGTAAACCGCCGTACTGTCTGTTGGTCTGGAGAGGAAAATC